ATGTAGTTATTGAAATAAGTAGGCCGTTGCCCCAGCCTACGACTGTACGACATCGATTCTGTGCACCTCGAGTCTAGAGCCCATACACATAAGTACACATGAGTCTAGAGCATATGTTGCTCCAAGTGCAGTTCTCAGTGAACTTGCCAGAACGACCGAAGTGATGTCTTTTGACATTTCACAAGGACAGGTCGGAAGTCCTACCAATGCTAACATCATGCCAACATTGAACGTAGACATAACAGTTTATTCAACTGTTGTTACAACTGGTAATCTAAGTGATCCATGTGTGAGTTTACCCGACTTCGTGTCAAGGAAATATTTGGACGGCGTCCTAAAGGCTGTTCAAGATAATTTGGATGCTCAAATGGCCAGTCTGAAAAGACTTTTGAAGGGAAAGGAAACTGTAGAAGAAGAGCCACCATCTGCGCCATCACCACCACATGTACCTAAACCGTCAGTACAAGAACAATCGGTGGATGAACTTAAATCGTTACTATATGCAAAATTGATGGCATCTCAAAATCCAGACGCTGAAGATGCAGATTTGGTTGGCCTCTTACGACAACAATTAGATGTAACCCTTTTGTTCGAGCCTCAGAGTTTTTGGCTTTTCAAGATGTGGTTACTTCTAGCTTCTCTAAAGTTAGCAAGTTAATCACGTCCAAAACCCAATATCTTAAAAGTGCAATGGATGCCCTTGTTGAACGGGTGTCTACTTTAGAAGAAACTTGCAGATCTCATCTCTCTTAAACGAAGGCATGACGATCCGGATGATCCAGATAGTCATGAGGGGGAGAGGAAGAGACAGAGAGTGGCTGAGACATCTGAGCAAGCTGCAAGGGTTGGAGAGGAGCCATCAACTCAAGACGTAAATGTTGAAGCTTCTGCCCCGGAATCTGTTCGGGAAAGAACAATTGAGGCTATTGTGGTTGAAGATGAAGAAGAAATGGAGACAAGTCCTATGATCGACCCAATGGTTGAAAAGCCGGCGGACTCCACAGTAGGAACAAGGATGTTATTGGACTTGTCTGCCAATGTAGGTTTCAACGATATGTTCTCTACTACTCTGGGTGGAGAGCAAGATTTTGGAGAAGACATTGACAACATTGACGAGTAGACTGGGATCTACTTTGATTTTGAAGCTGATATAGATGATGAAGATCCAGTTTTTCCTGTTCAAGAAGACCGTCAGTCTGTTCTAGAATCTTCCACTGCAGATGTACCTGATGTGTCAGACGTCCCTGCTCAAAGAGAACATGTTGATCCTACTGAAATCTTCACCAAAAATTATGTGTCCTTCCATATCAGAGCTAACTTTCCTGGTTATGATAGAGAAATAATCCGAGAGCCATATTTAGAAGATATCTACTTTGGAATTTTCATAAGCGGTGACAAAGTTCTTGGTATTCATCGTCAGACCAAAGATTACCGCATTGAATACAAACACCTTTTGAAAGTCAAGCGTCTACCGATAAGTGAAGTGCGTACCAAGCATCGGGTCGTCACGATCAAACAAATTGATGCTCAAAAGCTTCTAAGAATCTGGTATCCTGTGTTTACAGTTACTAGACAGGATGGTCAGATCTGGAGATTCAGCGAAGCTGATTTTTCAAGCTTATACTTGGAAGATCTTGAATATATGTACTTTGAAATTAGAAACATGACAAACAGGAAAGAAGGAGAACTGATTGCTCTTGAAGCTATCAAGAGATTTATGCGTTGTCATGTGAAGCTGGCTATGGTCATTGATGTTCAAATGGGCCTTGAAGACAATCAACGGATCACCAATGTTGGACCGATACTAGGGAACCGCCCACATGATATTGTCCGCTTTGGGCTGCCCCTCCCGGCAACAACCCCTCACGGCTTTAAAACGCGTCACTGGTAGGAGTAAGATCCCCCCTTCCTTATAAGGAAGACAAATCCCCTAGCCTCACCGATGTGGGATGCTCCTGCAGTGCTACAGGAGCGTTGGGTTTAAGAATTGCGGATTTGACCGGCTCGAGGGAACAATGAGGCGGAAGTCCCAACATTCCCCCCCCACATTGGTGCGGCCCTAGCTTTGATACCAATTGTTGCGGCCCTAGCTTTGATACCAATTGTTTGTCCCTAAAATCACTGATCAATCTTCATTAAGCTTCACAACAATGGCAGAATCTCATATATCTTCAAGAACATTCATAAGAACATTGAGAGAAAAAGTCAAACTCTCTTATTACGTATCAAATTTTCAATAAAGCTCTCTCTTCTTACAAATTACAAAGACAAACCATAGATATATGGTCAAACATCTAAAGACAAGTCAAAGTCAAACACATTGACTTTTACAATTATAGACTATATTTAACTTTCAAGACGAATACAATTAATACTGATTTTCAGTCCTAACAATCAATCTGAAAAGACCAAATCAAGAATTAAAAGATATTGAAGTTTTTCCAGTCTATATGATTCTTGAAAAGCCAGAGTTCGGGGTCATATACTTTGCTCAACTTCAAGTGAAGAAATTCATGAGATTTAGTGAGTTGAACAAATATTCTGATGGTACGATAAGGTTGGTGAGAAGGGCGCTTGACTTGAAAAGGGTAAATAATGACAGAGCTGTTGAATCAGAAAGAATGAGTTCCAAAGAAAGATATTTGTTGATCAATGCGATAAATTTGCTCGAGGAGAAAATCCAATACAGAAACGCTCTGAGAAAATTAGAGAAAATTCTTGGACTTCGAAAGACGAAATTTACAAGAGTCCAAACTTGAATCCAAAGGGGGAGAATGTTGGGTTTAAGTAAAAGCTTTATTGTTGTATTCAAGTTTCTCCTTAGTTTACTTGCTTTGTAATAGTGTAGCTTTACTATTTCCTTAGTATAAATAGTATTTTTCTTGTAATTGTCATTACGAAGTCATTAGCAGAATTGTAATCAAGATTAGAGCTGTAATTTCTCTCTCTCTCTCTCAATCAAATCAGTAACATTTGATGATCTATTCTTTCTACTATTTTCATTCATCTTGTTCTTGAATCTTGTATCATATTGTATGAATCTTGGACTCCACATTGTTCTTAACAAGCTTCTCTATATTTTGAAAATTTAACTGAGAAGCTTGTGGTGCCAGAGCCATGCCTCTTCACATTTATGAGATACGAGACAGAGAGTCTCTGAATTATCTCTTGCTAAGAAGTTCATAAGGTATATATTACCCTTACGTTTGGCTCTTAGCAACTCTTGACTTGATTATGACAGTATTAAACAAGATTCTTTTTGGAACTTGACATTATAGCCAGAATCACAAAGTTGACTTATGCTCAAAAGGTTATGTTTAAGCCCAGAGACATAAGCACCTTTAGAGACAGAAACCTTACCTTGGTGAAGATCTCCATATACACAGGGAGCAACTAATGTTAGGTTTTATAACACAAAAAATGCGCATTATGTAATTCAACGTGTTCTGGAGTGTGAAAATTCTTTCCAATGGTCCCAACCCTTCCGAGTTTACCTTCTTATCGAGATTGTGGGATACCAATTTTTTTTACACCGGCCAAATGGTCTGTACATAAATCAATCACCTTCTCGAAATAATACCCTTCAACAATACTGTTGACTTTAATAATGATTTTAGATTGCGATAAGGAAATTAGAACATGTAACTAAAGTATAATGATATTTATTATAATTTGCTAATGATGTAAAATGAATTTATTTTATAGATAGTAGAAGAGTACTCGCGCAATATAGTGAGATATATCTCGATTTTAATGTTTCATTTTATTTTTTTAGTTTCTGTCGATGTTATAATACGAATTTATGTGATTTTGAACAAACAATAATGTTTTTATTAATAAAATATAAATTTGAAGATATCATAAAAATTAAAAAATATATATATAATTTATCATTTTTTTGTGTAAAAACTTTAATTCGATTTTTTTATAATTTAATTTAGGTTTGATGACGAAGTAATTTATTTTTGTTTGATAATGTAATTTTTATAAAGATAATAACTAAGTATTCTGTTAGAACTCAATAATTATCCTAATTATATTTTAGATTTATATTTGAAAATAAGAATTTTATTATGTATTTGATTATATTTATCTACAATTAGTTACATGAATTCAAACATGAAGCTTAATAAGTTATACTTACCCATAATTTACTTGTAATCTTGAATTTTATATAATATGCATGTATAAACAATGCTTTAGTACCCACAATTTACTTGTAATCTTGAATTTTATGTAATATGCATCAATAAACAGTACTTCATGTATAAAAAATGGTTTCTAAGAGTTTTATTAAATGTTTTATGATATAGTATATAAATATAGATTGGGCTGTAAACGAACCGAACGAACACAAACGAAGGTTTGTTCATGTTCGTTCGTTTAACTTAGCCGAACAAACGAACGAACACGAACGGTAAACGAACGAAAATCTTTGTGTTCGTGTTCGTTCGTTTAAAAATAATGTGTGTTCGTGTTCGTTTATGTTCGTTCGTTAACATGCTAAACGAACGAACATAAACGAACGAGCTAAACAAACATAAATGAACAGGTTAAACGAACATAAATAAATATTATTTGAATTCAAAGTAAATAAGTAAAAGATTATATATATTAAATTTAATATATAAATGAACATAAATGAACGTAAACAAACGTAAACGAACAGTAAATGAACGAACGTTCAAGAACATAAATGAACGAACGAGACTCTTGTTCATGTTCGTTCGTTTAACTAAACGAACAAAAAAAATTGTTCATATTCGTTCATTTATTAAATAAACGAATATAAACGAACTTCCCGCCGAACGGTTCGCTGAACGTTTAGTTCGTTTATAGCCCTAAATATAGACAATGATCGAAATGAAAGGAGTTTCTAAGTTAAGGGGGGAATTTGCTATACACCTAATCTTAGAGGAGTGAAAATGAAACATTTATTTATCCACTTGCCAAACCCTATCTCCCCAATCCTCAAAAAGGTCGCCCTACCTCGCTCACTTCATCTCTCCTTGCACCATTTTTCGAATTTTGCTAACATTTTTCTCTGCAGACGTTTCAAACCCTAAACCCTACCTTCTTTTCAGATCCAAGGTCCGCAGAACCGTAGTGCTTCATAATTGATACCTTTTTGTGTCTATATTTATATCTGATTGAATTGCTCGAATTGTGAAACCCTAATTTCTTTGGATTCTCTCGAATCTCTTTAAATTCATGTAGAAATGGGCGAAAACGAGATAAAGGATAATGATGCTTACGAGGAAGAGCTTCTCGACTACGAGGAAGAGGACGAGAAGGCCCCTGATTCCGCTGGCGTTAAAGTCAACGGCGAAGCCGTTAAGAAGTAAGTTGCTTTAGCGTATGCACAAAGGAACTCTCTGCTTTTTCTCCTTAAAGTCTACTGTGTATTTAATAAACTGTTGATCTGTTATGTGGTTAAGCTTTACAGTTCTTTTATGCAATGTTTGGGATGATTGAATTGGAGGTCCGGACTTGGATCTTTTTGTATCGTTTGAAATTTGAACTTGTTTTTTCCGTAGTTTCATTTCCCAACCATGGATTTGGAGTTATTAAACGAACCCTTAGTGGTGGTGTTGTTTAAAGTTTTGTTTTTTACAATCTTTTTAACTCATGTTGTTGCTTCCGCCGGGTTTCTGATAAAAAGAATGCTTTTGTGTACGGATATGGGAACAGATACCAACTTTAAAGTTGTCGATTGGCATGGAGCTAAAAGAGTTCCTGAGATGATTGTTTGGTTCAGGGATCCGAACTTATCGAGTGAAAATAAAAACGAATCTTGCTAACTACAGTTTTATTCTTGATTAGGTTACGGTTCGAGTGTAGGTACCGTTCTGGTAAACCTCATTAAAATATTTATTACTTTACCAAAGTGAATATTTATTGGTTTGACTATCAAAAACAATTGTTGGTTGGACAAGGCTATTGGCGTTTTATGTAGATTATTGGATTGTAGCATGATGTTACTAAAACTATGTTAGGCTTACCGGTTTAATTACCTTACCGGGTGAACATAACAAGAACCAATAATCTTACCTGTAAGAGGGTAGACATAATCGAGAGTCTTACCTGGTAAGTGGGGGTGATGACTCTTATGCGGTAAGTGCTTACCGGGTTTAAGACGCTTACTAACAATTCATTTTGATGACCAAGAATGTTAAATGAGGGTGATCTCTTTTACCGCTAAGCGCTTACCAGGTAAGCATTTGGGAAACGGCCCCTTAGTCCATCAAATTGAGTTATATGCTGAAAGGTATATTTTTATTGATGCACATGCATTACGGTACGTGTTAAGGATTTTAGTTGTTGAACAATATGTAAGTTTTGAGATGAAATGCATTGTCAACTCCAACCTAAAGAAATCAATCCGCTAGTCTTATCTATTTATCTGCATTTGAGAAGTGAATTACGACCCATAGCTGTGGTTTGAGCCTCTTGCCTTTTGCCAAAAGAAAAAAATTAACCAGAGAAACCAAAAACTTATTCAAGGTGCCAATAGCAACAATAATTAAGCAAATGGACACGATGAACCTGATTTTTAGCATCTTCCATTTCAACCTTATTCAATGTCGATAAGATACATATCTCACAATTTTCTAGTTATTTTACTTGTGTTTGTTTTTGTTTACATATATGTTCATGACTGCAGTTCTACATGCATGATCGGCTGTTTATGCTCCTGAAGCATGAAAACAGTTTTCTGGTCGCTGATTCATTTCTTTCAATTTAATTCTTAATGCAGAGGCTATGTAGGAATTCACAGTTCAGGATTCAGAGATTTTCTTTTGAAGCCAGAGCTACTCCGTGCTATTGTGGATTCAGGATTTGAACATCCTTCTGAAGGCAAGCTTTCTTCTAACCATTTAAAAGAATTTTTTTATCTGGTCTTGTCAATTCATGATCATGTGTGTAAGCTCCAACTGTAAGAAATTTCTACACTTGCATTTTATATATATGTGAAGCTTCTTGCTTTATCTTTTCATGTCTGCTTGGGATATACTTGATATTTTATTTATAGAATCCTATGGAGTGAGATATACACATGCTTTTCTCTTTTAGCCATCACAAAGGTAAAGGTAGTCTCATCGTCAAATTTGTTAGAGGCTCAAGGCGCACTTAGGCACACTTAGATGCAAAGGGGTCTCGGGGCCTAGACGTGAGGCGCTGGCATGAGGTGTGGGCATTAGGAATGTGAGGCGCATCTTATAAAGTATACATATATTTACACACACGCAATTGTACACAACTCAATTATGTAGCAAGTACTCCAGTGAAACAACAGAGACAGAAGGGAGAAGGGTTTAAAGCATGAGTCATAAGGGAGAAGTTTTAAGGTCGTATTTATAGAGAAAGAGGCTTGAAGTAATGAGAAACGGGTATTTAATATTAGGGTTTGACTTATATCATCTATTTAATAACGCTTTTTTAAGAAGTGTAGGAGATAAGAAGATGAGAACTTATTTTAATATTGGGTTTGACTTGGTATTTAATAACTCTTTATGAGGCGTGCCTAGGCACGCAAGGCTCCTCAGCCAAGGCACAGGGCTTTAGTGAGCCTCGTGAATAAGCATAGCCTCGACCTTAAAAAAGCCCAAGACCCTGAGCCTTATGAGTCTCAGAGCCTAGGCTCGCCTCAGGCGTGCTTTTAACAACTATGCTCGTCGTGAGTGGTGAACTTTTTTAAACAGTGAAACATTGCAACTTCTGGTTTATGGTAAAGACAACTTATTTGAACTTACTACTGTAGTAGTGGCATCTGATGGACATCAACAAGTGAGTTGCTGAATTTCGAAGAAAATCAACTGTTTCTAAGGGAGGGTGGGGGAGCTGGGGTTTTTCAGAATATCGCATGTTTAGTTTGTAACTTGCGTATGTTGACTGCATATATACAATTTTGTTGGGGAAGAGGTAAAAGTGGAGGATTGTTGAGAGCACCATGTTATATATATTTAGTTTCATAACTTTCGTATGTGATGCTTATAAATAATTTTTATAATTAATGATTGTGAATTGGTGATCAATGTTATGGATTATCTCATACTTTACATGTAGAGTGGTTGCAAAGTTATAAAGCTTGATTATTAGCATGCGAGCTTCATCGTTATATTTCATTTATGAAGAACGTGTGAACAGATCCATGGAATGAATAATTTCTTACCCTCCTTGTAGAGAATGGTTGAAATTTTATACAGCTTGATTATTAGCATCTGAGGCTTCATTGTTATGTTTCATTTGTGAAGAAAGTATGAACAGATGGATTTAAGTAGAGATGGGATCTGCAAAGTTGCTCTTCTTGTCAGTGTTAAATTATTTGCTTGCTATTCACACAGCCATCCAAATCATGTGACTGACACTGCTTGTCTTGTTTGGCCACCAAATCTGCAGCACTGATATAATCTTTTTATAGGATATATATGCTTGAGAGGTAACAAAACATTAGTGAATGTTGGAGGAGCTTTGGCGATATGGTGGTAACAAGAAGGTTGTGATGGATTTCTTTTCTGATTTAGAGTTGGAGGGGAGGGGAGGGAGAGATCTGAACTATTAGGGTTCATCTACTCACTATTTTACCCTTGAATGGTTGCTTTATCTAGGTGTTATTCTAAAGTTTTATACAGAGGGTCTTGCTGAAGCGTACCTTTATGTGTTACATGTGGTGGTGTATATCAGCCAATAATTTGTCTTTCACTAACACTTGGATGGTGGAAAACTGCATCTGCTAATCTTTGTTTGCTATGATTTGATGTGTAGTGGGTATGCCTTTCTGTTGTTGAAGCATCTATAGTTTTTGTAGTTTTTTTAAATGTACCATGCTGAACACTCTAGTTGTATTTTTGATAATATCTCCAAACATTTTCTCCGGTCTTTTTAGTACTGCATGTTAGCCATAAGCAGACTAGTGCTCTCTTAATAACTTCCAGCCTCTGTTTGCAGGTAAATAATAACTATTACCCGTATCATTTGGAGAAGTGCTCAGATTTGGTAAATTTTTTTAATTGAGGATTGCTTAGCTCCAATTTCTTTGGTTCTTCATCAGTGCAACACGAGTGCATTCCTCAAGCTATTTTGGGAATGGATGTCATTTGCCAAGCGAAGTCTGGTATGGGAAAAACTGCCGTGTTTGTCTTGTCCACACTGCAGCAAATTGAGCCTGTGGCTGGTCAAGTAGCCGCCCTTGTTTTATGTCACACAAGGGAATTAGCTTATCAGGCATGTATCATATCTACAACTTCTAGAGTTCAATTCCCCTTCTAATATTAACATGTGGCAACCTTTCTTGCCTTTTATTTATGCGTTTGATTTTTACTGCACTTACAGATCTGCCACGAATTTGAACGATTCAGCACTTATTTAACTGATATCAAGGTTGCGGTCTTCTATGGTGGTGTTAACATTAAAATTCACAAGGAACTTCTTAAAAATGAATGCCCTCATATTGTTGTTGGAACGCCGGGACGGATTCTTGCCCTTGCCAGAGATAAAGACCTTGCATTGAGGAGTGTGAGGCATTTTATACTCGACGAGTGTGACAAGATGCTTGAGTCACTTGGTATGCTTTGATGTCTATATGTGAGTATGGTGTTTACAGGTTTTAGAGATTAACTTGTGTTCATGTGATTCCAGACATGAGGAGAGATGTTCAAGAAATTTTCAAGATGACTCCTCATGATAAACAAGTAATGATGTTTTCGGCAACACTGAGCAAGGAGATTCGTCCTGTCTGCAAAAAGTTTATGCAAGATGTAATATCCCATGGCCAGTTCTACTTGAATTTTGAAGTCAACGTTTTCATAGTGTCAGCTTTCTGCAGGCAATGCTTAGATGCTCAAGGATGCAAGTGATTGCCGCACTGCATGCTTGCATCTATTCACGTCATAGTTGGAAATACACCTTTTAAATGGGGGATGGGAAACACACAGGATTTCTGAGGGTGTGAAAGTAGTTGGGTTTAACTGGTTACAGTGCACACTTCTTTTTCTTTCCTTACTAGTGTCTTGTATTTTCTTAGTTCATTCAAGTTTTTGGGTCACTACTGGTGGTCTTCCATAGGATTTCTTTTGTTTTATCTATTTCATGGTAGATAGCATTGATCGAGTACCAACATGCTTGGTCTGATTTGAAAGCGTCTGCAAAGGGGACCAATCAGATGGACCAGAATCTTGATTCGGAGGATGTTCATCCATCGTTCATTTCGTACTGGATCCGTTAACTTCCGAAGGCTCCTAATATGCTTTACTATGGTATTTGTTCCTTTCAGCCAATGGAAATTTATGTGGATGATGAAGCCAAGTTGACCCTACATGGTCTTGTACAGGTAAGAGCTTGGACTTTCTGTAGCTTTTTAGTACTCTTTTAAACAATATTCATCTTTACTAACGCTTATCCATGGCAGCACTACATCAAATTGAGTGAGCTGGAGAAGAACCGTAAGCTGAATGACCTGCTCGATGCATTAGATTTCAATCAAGTTGTGATATTCGTCAAAAGTGTAAGCAGGGCAGCTGAGCTGAACAAATTGCTTGTGGAATGCAATTTTCCATCAATCTGCATTCACTCTGGCATGTCCCAGGAAGAAAGGTTTGTATAAGCATTTGGGACATATGGGAATATGGATATTTTATTTCTGACTGACTAAATTTACCTCTATACTTGTTTGCAATTTTTTAATTATGCCATTTTTATGTGGTTTCTATGGGGTAAAACTGTTAAGTTGGAAATTTTTTGTTTACTCGAGTCTGATGCACAACAGCCTATGGTTAGTAGAGGTAATCAGGTAAGTTTTTGTATGCAATAGAGCAAACTAATTTCTGGTGAACAATTTTTTTGTTTGTAAAATTTTTGAACCTTTGCAGTGTCTTTGATGACTGATCCTTGTCTGTGTGCCATTGCAATTGTTCTATCTGCTGCCATTTTTGTTCCAACTGATTTTATTCTTCATTCTAGAAATCCTGAACCTCAGAAACTGATCATCTTTTGTCCCCATATTCTAATCCTCTAGTGGTAGTTTTTAGGAAAAAAGGAAAGAGGTCACTTGTCTTGATGTCTGGCACATCCCAGAATATTGCATCTTTTTCAATTTTTGGATTGTTTACTGATATTTCATAGAATTTGCGTTATGTGTTTCTTTCTGATAGAAGCATTTTCTTTGCCCCTCCTTCAAAAGCAGCTCCATTGCTTCTCTTCATATCGAAGTTCAGTCCATTGAACAAATTGTTATTTCGTTGCTGTGCGTTTTAGTATTGATTCACTTGGTTATATTTCCATTTCTTTTTGCCATTTTCACTAGCAACACTCTTATGAACACAAGTTCTTTAACAATCAGGAGCGTTTGGTATGCTCATGGTTTTTTTTATTACGACTATTTGTACCCAACTTCTTAATGCTAAGATAGATTGTTTTATTCTGACGGGACTGAATTTGTAGGTTGACACGCTACAAGGGTTTCAAGGAAGGGCACAAGAGAATCTTGGTGGCAACAGATTTAGTTGGGAGGGGTATCGATATTGAACGAGTAAACATTGTCATAAACTATGATATGCCAGATTCTGCTGACACCTATCTCCATCGTGTAACTTTTCTCTTCATTTCATCTACTTGCTCAAGTTTTTTATCGTCTTGATAAAATACCTAAGGGCATTCTTGACAATTTGACAGGTTGGGAGAGCTGGAAGGTTTGGAACCAAAGGTCTTGCGATCACATTTGTGTCATCTGCAGCTGACTCAGATGTTCTTAACCAGGTATTTGGGTACCTCTATATCTAGAACATCATCATTTCTAGGCGGTGTTTGTTTTTTTTTGATAAAACCTCTCTTATTCACCATTTATGTCTTACTGAATAGGAGGTGAATGCGTTTTTTTTTTTGTGATGAGAGCTCAAAACCTCTTACCTTCCTTAGGTTAAATCACCTCTTAAGGTCCTCCTATTGGCAAATAATGGCAATTGATATTTTCCATTATATTTATTTTATTTTCAAATGATGGAATTATTTTTCATATACAAATATAGGTAAATTGCAAGATACACACTTTTAATTATTATTTTAAAGAAACATAATTTCAAGAAACATTTTTAAAGATGCATAATTTGAAATAAAATGTTTGAATAACTTATGTTTTAATTACTGTCTTTTATGTACATTTTTAAAGTATGTATCCTATAATGAATATTTTTCATAGATAATTACACATTCAGACATTTATCGGTTTATAAAATAAACCGTCTTAATAGATCATGGTTTCAGACTTTTGCACCACACTTTATGAATAAAAAAGTGCAATAAGACGTCAGCCTTCATACATACGAACACCACCTTAGTCTTTGTGTCTGTTGATCTTATCTTGGTTTGGTGGTTGTAGGTTCAGGAGAGATTTGAGGTTGATATTAAGGAGCTTCCTGAGCAGATCGATACTTCAACATATAGTAAGTCGTGTATCTATAAATACTTAATTTTTGTCTGTCACAGTTTTCTATTCCTATCCATACTTTTTTAAGTGGTCTGTTAGACACAACCCAATCTCTTCATGTTAACCTAGTTATTATGAGTATTAAATCTGCAATGTGTGTTAAGAGGAACCAAGGGGTTTGTATTATTGGTCCTATCGTCAATCATGTGGGTGCATTTGTTACGCTGACAACTTGTTTTTCCGCGTTTCACATAATAATCAAGACTTGGACAGTAGGGGATTTAGAGAGAACCAAAATAGGTGGAACGAAAAAAAATCAGGGAGATGGGACTAAGCCGTTTACCAAACGCTTACCCGGGTAAGTGCTTACCAGTAAAATTCAACACCATCACTTACCGGGTAAGATTTTAGTTCACCAAAATGGTATCGTTGCAACAATTTACCCTGTAAGCGCTAACCGTGGTAAGAGTCGTCGTCCTCGTCGGGGAAGACTCTCGGTCTTTGCCTTCGCTTTTACGGGGTAAGATTCTTGGTCTTTCCGTATGCATGCGGTAAGGTAATATGCGCTTACCTGGGTAAGCGTTTGGTAAACGATAAGAATTCAAAATTGGAACTTCCCACAATCATACCTGTCTGTTTTCGTCACTCCCATCGGGTACTAAAACCTTCAACCCTAGGAATTTAAATAGATTTATTGACAACTGACTTGCAACGATTTGGTTGCAGTGCCTTCGTAGGAGTATTGAAGCGAGGTTTTAGCCAAGCAATGAACGAGTATGGGAATGGGATGACCATCATGCTTATTATAAATGATTTGAAGGAGAGGAGATGGTCTGCTTTTCTTGGATACTATACTTGTTTTTAGTTTTGTAACATCTATAAACTTGTCATTGGAAGGTCAGGTAGACTTTGTTTCTCTACATCTGATGATGTTTTAATTAGATTATATTCGTATTTTCCAGAGGTTTTTATAACATAGCATCACTGCCGGTCCATTGATACAAACTCATTTCTTGATTTCTTTTTATTATTATTGCTATTTTCTTGTTGCAGAGTAGTCCACCATATGCAAGCATTGATACGTTAAAGAATTGTATATTTGCCAATAATTCTAACCTTTACCTTTACCTAGGAAGTGTAAACTACAAACCCACATTCATCATTCTAAATTTAGTTTACATGAACCATGACATTGTGAAATAAGAATGATGTATTAAACATCATCATCTCTAGATATTTTGATGTTCAAGCATTATTTTTAATACCAATTTTTTTATCTTTATTTGTTTATGTTACCATTCAAAATTGAAAAACACGTACAACTTGTTCATAAATTTTGATACAAAAGTAAGCCCATAAATCAACGAGTGAGACATTATAAGCTTACACAAGATTATCTTGTATGATGACAGATTATAAGCATACACTTATTACATAAAATCACTTGTATGCCACATTAAATTAAATGCTGTTGACATTTTGTGGGCTGTATAGAAATAATAAATTGAGACAACTTATTCACTTAGACTTTTTTGTTCCATTTGTCACCTATCCTGGTTCCTTGTTCCTTCAAAATTATAATTTTGATTCAGCAGCTTCTCTTCACCTTATTTTTGAAGGCGTTCAAGGCAATGAATGCTCTAATCATATTTATTACACAAGTGACATGCTTCTTGGGACTTGACAAATAAATATTCAAGCACGAATTTCAACTTCCCAAATACCTAAAACCCAACACCCGTTTAGTTTGCGAGATTTGGTAGGACTTAAAATTTTGAAGGGAAAGTTATAGAAATTCTACAACCGACAGATCTAAAAATTCCTTAAATTCTTGGGTATCAAATGGGGTAGTTGTCATCATGAAATCTACAATATATGGAACCTTACACGCAATTAATAAAACTAAAGCAAGAAAAACCTAATAAAACACATTTAAAATGAATAAATATCCCATCGGCGTTCTTTCTTTCTAATGTAAATTCTGAACTAAACATCTAAAATTTAAGATCCCTGTGTTTCAAACATTCGTTTTCCACATCACACCATAAACAAAAATACGACTAAAAACTATCAACATTACAAATATCATCACAAATGAGTATATCTTGCATTGATGTCAACAAGCCCTAATTCTTTTTCATCTCCTCGGGCAAGACCAATTGGAATAGATCCAAGGGTATTAATGTGATTTCCTCCTCAAGAAAAAGAAAACATAGCTACAATCACAACGACTCTGGGCTTGTAGAGGGTCTGATTCTAGAGGGCATCTGCATTTTTCGATGTTGTTCGTTTCCAAACATGAAGGAATTCCGGGGCGTTATAGACATTTTATTCAAATTCATGTCAAATTCATCGTCTTCAAAGCTCATGGGTCCTCTGCCACCATCCTCTGCTTCATTTTCGTCACTAATGCTCTCATCATCATCGTCATCATCATAAGTAGTTCTTACCATCGACCAGTATATGAAGTTTGGTCGTATAAATCTGTAGGTTGAAAGAGTCGTGATTTATAGTGTTTTCCAGAAATCAAATCCTAACCAACTAACCAATTCTAACTACTAATCTTTATTTATGATTAACAAAAATGATTCTAAATTTAAATAAATGACACTAATTGATAGTTTTGCCAAAGAAATTGGTCAAAAACGGTACCCAATTGTAGTTAAATTTCTATACGAAAAGAACCATGAAAAGCATGTAGAAATTGAACAGCCAACAAGAAAACGAACCTGTCAGACTTCCTCAGTAAATATGGATCAAAAGGGAAGAACAAATCCAGCCTTTCAAACCCACCAAAAGCTCTGGACAGTTCTGATTCAAGCAGATCATTGAAAGCAAAATTCCCCGATACACGAAACAAATGAGCTGCTTTGGCCTGACGGAGGAACTCATCTACGATCGATGGTAAGCACACCTTCAAGCACAACGTATTAAGACGATTAAATTGGTTGAATTTGCAGTGTGACAATTTAAGGCCATGTTTCACAACAATAAGCTACAACTTATTTTTTGAACTTATTGAAAAGCCCCGTTTGGTAAATCATAAGAGAGCTTTAAAAAAACTACTTCAGATACCTATTGGGACTTCTTTCACACATTTCCAATCATGCCTATTATAATTTTCTTTTAGGTCGTTTTATATTGTCATCTAACTTATCAGCTATCAGCGGCGAACTAGCTTAGCAGCTAGTTTACCAAACACAGCCTAAGAGTATATAAAATTTACCTCCAATGGGTTTAATGAATGCTTCAGAATTTGCTCTAAAGGCATATTGACCAGCTGGGATTTGAGTGGAGGAATGGCCAGAATCGATCTCAAACGGAAGCAAAGTACATACATAATAGCCTGTAACCAAATCCGATGTACAAAAAGATCACATTAGATTCAAAATTATAGCCAAATACTTATTATATATTTTCTACTTGAGGATTCAAACTCTAAAAGATTATGTCAAACAATTGTCCCCATGGTCTCCATTAAGAGATCCCACATTTCTAAATATTTATGAATCTATCACAACGCCATGTTCTATTATCTGAGGGGAGGGTTGACTATAGAATCTGGACACATATGTTCACCCACCACGTCATTAGAGGTGGCAGGTGGTACATAGTTCTGATTTAAAAAATCAAACGAACCCGGTAATCCCACCCAGAGGTTGACCTATATCCTAATAAGTAATGTGATTGTTTCCATGAAAACCCCTAGAAATTGAAGCAAGCAAATAAAAAGAGAGAAAGACATGATAAATTTTGAGAAACTAGATATGTGTAAGCAACACCAATATAAAAGCGAAGCCTAAAACATACCTGGCATCCGGCATAAAAAACTCTATGATGTTTTGGATGAATTCCACCAATCTGGTTTTCACAATAGTTATAACACCAACCCACCAAGCTGACATAATAAACAATACAACACTTCATTAGATCACAACTTGGGAAGGCAATTAGACACTTCACTTTGGTGCATAGCCCATCGGAAATGCAAGTTCATATAGAACAGAATTTTTTTTCGATGATACAAGTTAGAAAATGATAGCAATTTTCATATTGTTTTTCTATTTGTATTTTCTTTGTAGTCTTGCACTCCCACACCAAGAAAATGAGGAAGGCTGTCATAGGCTCCACCAAAAATACTTGTAGACTATGGTGGGATCTTAGGAATCAATGAAGTTATGAAATTTGAAAGCTGAAGGCAAACTATAGTTACCAAATGAACATGGGGCAGTTAATGACTTTAAACACAATTTTGTATGAATAACCAATGAAATATTCACACAATCATTTCATTCGTATGAACTAAATGGAGAAAAGAATCTGACATTCGAATAAAAAATAAAACAAAATGAACCAGTAAATCCCACACAAAGTAGGGTCCGGATGTAAGCAGACTTTACCTCTACTCCAAGGAGTAGAGAGGTTATCTCCATGAAGACTCGCAGTCTGTAAAAAGGTTGACGTTCTAATATGTATCGGATTATTATATATAGTTCGATCAATTCCTGAGTATCTTCCATTTATGTTGCAAAATTTAACATAATATGAGCTTATGCAATATGCATGCCAACCTTTCCAATACAGTTGTCACATATGAGGCCGACAAGAACTTAGCACGAGCCAGGTAACTTGCAAGATAACAAACAGCACTCATCCTGCAATCCACCAACAACATATTAGAGATATACCTAAATGACAACCTACACGATAGCAAGCATCAAATACAAGGAAGGATAAGATGGTCAAACGCTCTGCATTTGCACATATTAATCTTATCTTTCAGTTTCAGCTTGCTAATAATCAAAGAGTGTGCAATGAATAGCACTATTGCATCATTACTTTCAAACTTTGCACCTCATTGATGTAAAAATAACGAAAATTTAGCAGTACCTCCAATCTTGAGGATAGACTGTGCTTCCAAAGATTTCAACAAGCCTGCTCACAAATTGTGTCCCACAATCTTCAGGGTCAAGCGAACAAGCATAGAACATTACAAACTACAATTACGAGAAATAAAATCCATGTAAGCAAATTGTGCACATCATGCTATCAAAACGACATTCAAGTACAACTTGTAATAGTTGACGAAGAACTAATGGATAGATAAAGAGAAACTAGAAACATCTGCTGGTTACCTGGGCAAATTTTGACTTGTATGCATTCAAAACCGTACTCTGAAATGACTGGAGAAGTGTCTCAAATACCTAAATAGAAGTTCAAATTATATATATACATATAAATGGAACAAAAAAGCATATACAAAGTTGAAACTGAAGTACACAAGCTACCTTAACCAAGCGGCCACTTTTGAAACAGGATCCAAGGTGGTCAAAGGCAAGAACCATCAGTGTATCCAACTTCTGAGCAACTACGTTCCCCCAAAGGACTTTACGACCAGAGTATTCTCTAACAGGCTGAAGAAAAGCACTTACAAAAGTCAATGGAGTGAAAGAAAAGGACCAAGAGAATATACAAAAAGTACAAGACTTGAAAAAGGCAAATACTCAATGAAGATAAACTGTATCCTAACAATCAAACATAATTATTATCCAGCAAAGAAAGGTAAAGTTAAAAGTTGTGATAGAAGTATCCAGATTACCTCATCCTCCATATCAATCTCAGTTTCATTTACAGATCGTGCCATATCTTCTAGCTCCATCTCAAAGATGCCTTTGTTGGGATCATCCAGCAAAATTTCATCCCATCCTATCTCCACCTATAACAAGTTAAATTGCATTACATTTATAATCAGCAAGTGATTTCTCAAATCAACCGCTAAGAAGCCAACTTTTTAAAACAACTCACATCTAGGTCTATCAGCCTATTCATCAATTCAAAAATCATAGTGTTACCAACGAGCTCTCCCATATCACCACCCTCCAACAGTAGCATGGCCTCCACATATACAACAATTTGCTGCAAAAGTAGTAATGCATATACAACAGTTACCATGATATGACATAGTCAAGAAATAAAAGTTTGTGCATGAAACACTAAAAGTAGGCAATCAAGCTATTTATAAGAGTAATTAACAGCGCAAAATTGAAGTAACGCCCAAAGGGGTGGTTTTAAAAAGACGCAAGATTGAATATAAAGGAGCTTTGAGATGGTGGCAAAGTAGTTTCCAGTACCAACTCATCTCTGCAATTCACCACAAGCAGAAATCTAGCAAATGACCTACTCAAAAACAGAACCTAGACAACTAAATAAGATTAGCCTATGCCTTTCCACAATGCAACTTTAATCTTAAGACCCTTGGTAATTATAGGTTGAGCAACCATATATATCATATTAAATCGTTTGGTAGACGCAAGAGCATGCCAATGACTACAACATATATGCTTCTAGTATGTATTACACTCACAGCATCTTTGGAGTGCGCACTAGGTACCCTCTCCCTGACGATCTGTTCCAGTCTTGATGGTGCTAGGGGCACAAGATCAGCAATTCCTTTCAGTGCAGAATGCACACGACCAAGAATTTGGTCCTTTTTTGCTAATCCACGTGGCTGCTTCAATATCTCGAGAAAATTTATAGGTGGAATAAAGTTGCATACAAGCATATCCAAGCACAAGTCAACATATTTTCCATTCGACGTAGCCTGATATGTCATGAAATGAATAAAAAAAGTGAGAACTTACAACAACAAGCTGTTTATTTGGAATCATTAGATTGCACACATACCAAGGCTACTACTAGTTCAATCAATGCATCCATCACATCCGGCCCGTAGTTCCACAAGCTCATATTGCATATCTAAAAAGTACAATTTATCAGAATCATCTAAGACACAAGTACACCCACCACTAGAGCAAGAGATGAACAGTTGGAAGTATAAACAAAATCATCTTACGGAAGAAAGAAGTATTCGGTGATGCACAACATCAATATAGGAAACTGCTCCAGATAGGCCCCTCAAAATCGTCTGTCGAAAAAGAACATGGGCAACAAATCTGACTCTGAACAAGTAACTGATCTTTATAACTCAATTTATCTATGGATGACAAACTTACCACAAGCATGGCCACCTCATCAGGGCCTAGGCGCTTATTGTTATGCATATTCCCAACGATATGATCATAATCATCAGTATCACCCTGAAACATGCCACACCACATCGATATCAGTTGCATGTTTTGCCAATATCATTTGATCATTTTGTTGTAACTTGTAACCTTCTTGTAGAGGTTTTTAATCAAATGCCTGTTAGAGAAATTTAACCTCAAATATCACGTTAACATTTTTTAATACAAAAACTTATTACTCCCCCATTATATAAAAGAAAAGTTAAACTACTAAATTTTGCCTATGAAACAAAACAAATGCATCCAAGTTGTGCTACATCCTTTCCACCGGTCTTCATGGTCATTGTAGAGCATATATCTTGGTTTCTGCATTGTTATCTCTACTTCTAAAATCTAGAAGTTTAATGTCCACTTCGTCTGTTTCATCTCTTTTAACATATAATATTAGTAAAATCTCCCTATCTTATATGGAATACAGAACAGAGCCCTTACAAATAGTCTTTCGAAAAATATTGAGAAAGAAGATGTCATTTTAGTATTACCATCCACATTCAAAAGTCAAATTGGGAGGTTGTGACAACTTTAGCACCAATACTTTATCCCTTCTTTTGGTATTAGTCATGAACCTTAATGTAGTTATCACTCTTCTTTCTCAAGAACCTAAACAAAACCCAGACCCATTTTTAAGTAATGTATTTGTCTGATACTAAGTAGGAGTTATCGGAGGCAGATTATGGTAGTTGAATGTTTGTACGACAGTATGAGTGCAAGGTTGAGGGTGGGTTTGGGGAAGGGTCAGTACCTTTTGATAGAAAGTAGTTTCTTTGGTGCGTTCCATGTGCTGTTTAGCCAGGGTAGGCTCTTGGCTTTCTGTTCTAATTTTGTCTTTAAACAAAGATTTTTTTTTTCAAATCTACCGCCCCTCTGCACCTATACAATTTTTTGTGTTTTCTTTATGCGGACCCTCGGCCCCTATGACCAGTTGTTTCACGACTTCTCTCTTTCACAGAGACAACGGGGGTTTATTTTGATGTCATATCTAGTATTCAGAGTTTGCCTTGATTTGGTACATTCATGGTTTGATATTCAGGTGTCCTAGGCATAGAGGTCGCTTATATGTACTTCTATATCTTTTACTGAACCTTTCTTGCAAGCCAAGGTCTTCATGGAAATAGCCTCTCTGTCTTTTGGGACAAAGGAAAGGTCTGTGTAGTAGGTACATCTTAACCCCTCCGCCCACCCTACCTCTGGATGGGACACCTTACCTCCTCCCCCCACCCTACCTATGGATGGGATATAGGTTTGTTTAAGAAAAGTAGAATGCTACCGTTTTGGGCATAAGCATCACATTTCATACTATGCCCCAAGGTCAACTTATGTCTCGTAACTTTAATTCTGTAAGTCAAATCTAGTCCATATGAAAGGTTTTAAGAAAGCAACTTGGTTTTTGAACCACCGTACTTTAAGTTTTGTTGCAAACTAACCATTTTGCTTGTTAAAATACCAAAACAGCACACTAAAAAATGTCAAGGCAATCAATTTTAGGCAATTTTCAGATACCATTTTTGCAAAACAAAAGAATTACAAGTACAGTGGTTAGATTCGTCACTCACACAAACCTCAATGTGCTTTTTGCATTTTAGCAAGTACAATGGTTAGCTTGCAACAAGCTACAGGCATGATAGTTAGACAATTCATTCATAAATTCTTCTAGTGCTTCTGTTATTGTTTATCAATAGTCACTGATGTTAAATTTATATCAAATCAGTTCAGAATGTTCCAACTCTCCAGTGTCAAGTCTGCTATCCATGTTTTTGTGAAGCAAAAGAATCGCGATTAATAATATCAAATCACCAAAAAACTAGTGTTTGGTAAACCTTTACCATTTTTCATAAAAGCCTTATCAGTTTATAAATTTGTGTAAACCGCAGGGATAAACTATAAACTATAAGCATGGGTGCTAAAGGATTTCTAGAAATTAGTCATTCGAACTCTGGTCAACGGTTATATGGAGATGGATGTTCGATTGGCTTCAGGTAACACAAAAAGGGACATGTATCAACTATTTGACTTCAGCGCATAACTTCAATACCCTATAAAGCACAATTTTTAAAGCTTTCATCTTAATCTTTGAACATTACAGGAGTCTTGCGAATGCGTTTCCATGCTTTTAGAAAATTGAAGTCACAACTTTGTTAATGTTTAAGACACAACCCATACAAGACAATCTAACACCAAAAATAACCTTATAAACACAAAATTAGAAAACCCAATATTTGTCGATAAAAAGAAATAAATTTGGATTGGAGTATTTGAAAAGAAAAGTTCCTTCTGTTACCAAGGATTGGGTGTGTTACTAGAAGTGCATCATATCAATCAAACACAAAATAAGAAGAGAATGGTTTACCAAGAGGACAGATTTTAGGGCTTCACGAACATGATGAGACAACTCAGAATCACTGATATCTTCCATCTCAGCATGCTCATCTCCCACCGCTCCCATCGCTTGTAAAATCGACAAATTTAACCTATTAAAAATTGGGGGCAAAGGAATTTCACAACGTTCAGATCCAAATTAGAATCTTGAATAGAGATTGATCAAGGCGACAAGAAAGCCTGAATTGAAGATTGGAAGGGGTCTGTGCTCTGATTTTTGTGGGCGAGTATGTGTTTTGCCGCCAGACCAACCAACAAAGAGAGGATGTTAAGCTGTTTTAAAACCCTAACGCCAAACCCTTGCGAGAGGGGTAGAATGGGGAATAGCTGAATATCCTAAGGTGAATTTGGTTGGCTTAATGTTTTGGAAGGATGTGGTTTTACGGAGGGATTTAGATTTGATGGGATTGGATTTAAATTTTTTTTTAGTGTTTAGCTTGTAGGATTTACATTGGATTTGAAATTCACTTTTTTTTATAAATTATTAGAATCATATTTATATAATGCAACGCGATATATCTTGATTTTAATATTTTATTTTATTATTTATCTCGGTCGATATTATAGTATGGTCTTATGTGATTTTAAAAAAATGATGATGTTTTTATTTTTGAATAAAATATAAATTTGAAAATATCATAAAAGTTTGATAAAATATATCGATACTAGTATCAAACTAACTATTTAAAATTCTTATTTTTTATGTAATTTTTTAATTCAATTTTTTTATTATAATTTAATTTAGTTTCAATAACGAAGTAATT